TCATGAAATCCAAAGTGCCATCACTGAGCCTACCACTGAAACCTATCCTTAGCCAGATGGATCCAATCCAAAGAAAGGACAGTTTATCTATTAGTAATACTGATCCAGTGATTGTGTATTTGTACACAGTGTTCTCTGGATATTTCTCCACTCTGAGGTTTGAACTATTAAGAAAATATGGGTTAGTTAAAGAGTTATAATTTTATGACACAAAGCTGTTGTTACTTAATGTTGCAAGAAGCAACCAGGTAACCATTTCCCACACTATTATCAATTGTACATGAAGAGACCCCCAGTGCTAATTCACATGCATTTCATATTCAGAATTGTGAAAAACAAGGAGATGATGACCATTTCTTTTTGACACTGCTTTCTAATATGCCACTAAAGAAAAAATTCAGGAATAAATTTGACAATTTGTAAACTTGATATTTAAAACAGACAAGCCCAGCTACTGTATGCAGCCCCTGCATGACACATAAACACTATCATTAAAGAGAATGCAGACCACGATGAACATTTCAGAATGCATGTACACTTACAGGTAAATGAATGCTAGCTGACAGCTTATGTGTGTGTAAATGGAGATCTTTCCTTTGACCTACATGTAGTATACTTAACACTTGTTTGGTTTTTTTACACCTTTCAAGTGTCGCTACCTTTGATTATCGGGTAAAACTAATTTGAAATTACACTCTTTGAATTTTCCACTTAAAAAATAAACAAAATATGGTTAGTCATCTAGTGAGTCCACATATTATAATCAAGGCAGCACCCTACAAACACAAGAATACTGTGACAAAAAAAACATTTGCAACATCCTTAATAATTTTGAACTGCGTGAAAAAAAGAGATGGCAAATCATATGTTGCACTGTGGAACAGATGTTATTTTTATTTCAATGATGAAAATCTGAGAAGTGAAACTGATTCCAGATAACAAAAATCCTTCTTGGCCAAAAGGTTAACAGAAGATTGCACATTGTACACAACCACACTGCTCAGCAAGGTAATTTATAAATACTTGCCAAACTTACAGAATTGTTAAGCTTTAAAAAAATGAACAGGCATGAGAGTTAATGCCATATTGTTCTGAAAGACATTTCAATTTATAACCCAAAATATGACTGAAATATTTAAGGTTAAAGTAAGAACAGTAAATTTTATTTAACACATACAATGTGTCCATGTTACTTGGAGAGCCGAAGTGTGAGAGACCCCAGGTGAAGTGGATAGCAGAAATAAAGTGTATAATGATATGTTGTACGGAAGACAGTTAAATGTGCTGAGGTTGATGATCCATAAAAATCTAATCTATATTTTATGTACCAGAAAATTGAAATTCTACAGACGGCATAATCATTCTACACTTAAAGTGAGCTCTATTTCATAATTTAATGAAAAATGATTGTAACATGACATTATTAGGGTGTACATGTTTTCTTCATAATTGAAGACCTTAAAAGATATATGAAACATATGCTACACTTACATGTTGAATATGAACCTCAAATACAGAAGATCTATTGAACACTGTGATTGTGTTAGCACTCTTGTGTCACATCCGGAAGATTCCGGGTTAAAATCTCAATCCAGAGGCCAGTTATCCTAACAGAGATTTTTTGTGGTTTTGCTCAGTCTCTCGAGAAAACTTCCATTATAATATCTTGTGCCACGACTTTCTTAAAAATCCCTCCCAGTGCAGGGAAAACTTTGAAAGAAGACAAAAAAGCTAGGAACAAGGCCTAATAAAATCAAAATGAAACCTTACATAGGTCAGCCGTATCTATCTGTCTTTCAATTAAATAAAATAAATATGGATGACCTATAACAACCAGCTGCAGCATGAATCAAAATTTCTCAGAAAACAATTTTGCTTTGGCATATTTATTTTTTCTTAACCTATGTAAAATTTGACACCACATCACATCAAGGATGAGAGATGGCCAAAGATACCCACATTAAAGACTTCTTTCAACATACTTACACTTGTACTCCACAGAAGTATGTGACAAATTAACTGTCCATAACAATATTAATTTAACAAACACATTTTGAATGCTAAAAGCTGTATGTACCAGGTATATTTAGTTACCTTACAGCAGTCAGTAATCATTACACCACTTCCTCCTTTAATAACCATGTCAAGGGTCCTCACGCACTATCACACCTTAAAAAATTACTGTAATGAAATAATTTTAACAGTCTTATGGCCACTGTGACTATCTCTGACTAGAACAAAAAAATTACAGAATTATACTAAGTTTCAAATCAAAATCCATATGGTGAAGGCTGTGGTGACACCACTGAACATGTTTCTCTCTGATTACCAACAGCAAATGCCCCCCAAAACAAACAAACTCCATGGTTTTAGTCCACAAGTGAACTATACCGACTGAGCAACCGCCACTTGTTGGCGAAGTCAGTGCCAACTTCAGTGGACAGAGGGTGTTGCGTGGTCAGCGCAACGAATCCCCATGGTCATTAATTTCAGTTTTCTAGACCGGCCAGCTCCCATCCATCATTTATTTATTAAAGATGGGTGGGAGTATCTCAACAGCTGATGATGGTTGCAGACTTTAAGTGCAGTTCCTTATTATGTAAAAGTGGAAAAGCATACCTCAATTTGAAGTACAGTAACTGTAGTTTTACATCCGTTACTAGTGCTGATGTTCATTTACTGTATGTGCAAAAACTAATGCACAAAGCCTGATAAATGTGCACATATTATGTTGCACAAAGGCATGGATGTCAGGCAATTAAACAAATGGTCTGACGATTTTGTGTGATGTTCAATATTGACATGTTGCCACATGCTGGGACATGTATATTTCTAACTGGCAGTGTTCAGTTTTTCAGAATCAAAGGTGATAATTTATTTGAACATAGAATCAACATTAAAGTCTTAGTGAAACTACAGAAATATGCCACTGATATTTACCAAATGTAATAGTAAGTTTACAGACAGGGAACAACGGATAGAATACAGCATTTTGTGTCACCTGAGATTTCAAGACTGAAGAGAAGACAGCAGAGATGATAAAAATCCAACCATCTGACAACTACAGGAACTGATCAAAATGTGTGAAAAGTGTCTGAATGCTAAGAAATGGTCATTAACTGACTGTTCAGCGGACAGAAAAACAACTACACATGAAAAGAGAAACCGTGAAATTGATTATTACCACAGGTATGATTGTGAAGAAAGTGTCAGTATTCCACCCAAGTGCACCATCACAAAACATTTTACTGCAGAATGGTCCAAACACAAAATACCAAGTCGTCAACAGGTAAGTTCTGAATCTGGAGGACTGAAAGAACATACAAGTGAAACTCAAACATCAAAATCATGCACATCTGTTTTTTAACATCAAAAGAATGATCTATTATGAATCTGTTCCTCCAAAACCACCCAATAAGCATTATATTTTGGAAAATTTACATCACCACAAACACTGTCTCTCACAAATAAAAAGTAACTTTGGCTGCATAAGTCAAATTTGTATAACATCCACCAAATCTGGCTGATTTGCATCGTCCTAGTGATCCACTTCAACCAATTCAGTATTTCCATATAGATTCAGAACACATAACATATGAAACAAAACCAGTATATTCGTACGACAATAAAAAACTGTGATAAATAATCACTTACAATAAAGAAAAAATGAAATGTTTATTACTGTACCATCTAATTATATTTTAAATTTATATTCATGAAATTTTATTTACTTCATACCCATGAATAATATCGTTACTAACAAAATAATATATGATGCTCATACTGATTTAAAACAAAATAAAAACCTCACATCCTGTGATATATGCGTACTTCCACAGCATCAATCTTAGTACAATTTCTTCAAGTTTAACAAATGCTAGAATTTCAGATCCTGGTTCAAACATACAGCCTGCATGTTGTAACTCTACCTTCCCTGAGTCGTGTCCGCTGTCCATCAGTCCTGTTTCCAAAAACATAAGCACAGTGCACCATGCAAGATACATACATGATTAAAAAAAATGAATGCACAGGGTGCTTAGAATATTAGATTCACCCAAGCTGCATAAAAAATATGTTTCAAAATCAAGAATTTTGTACAACTGGGATGAACTCGTGCATGCAGCACAGTGAAGAGCAGAACAAAGTAACAAATTAAACACCGCACCACAGACATTGATTTCAAATTGTGCGCATCTGCATGACAGTCTCTGACTAAAATGAAGGCTGATTAGCTCAGAAAAAAGAATCATTAGAAACCCTAGTGAAGACAGCAGGAGACAAAATCAACGAAGACCAACTCATTACACAGATGGTGAATAGCATAAAGAAACAAAACAAAACTAGACACACTCCAATCTTCCTCCCTCAACACATATATACTCTCAACTATCATGAGACAATGTAACGCAGTGACTCCCTATATCAAATACTTGTTCTGGTTGCTCAAAAATGTTTCTTTACTAGCACAAATCTATCTTGTGCAGGGAAACGGCTTCATTTTCGTTTCTATTCTATACTTTTGACAATATTGAGGTACATCTTAAAATTTTATATTTACATTTATATATATGTGATACAAGTCCCATGTCTTCCTTTATACAGAATGTAAATGTGAGGGAATTAACAATATTACCACCCACATAATGCTCATGTGGAGGTAGGGAGGAGATAGTAGCAGCCTGTTACCTTGCATCTGCAGTGGAAACAGTAAAAACTGCCAAATTCTAGCCAACATATATATGGGCTAGGAATATGAATGAATATGAATGACTGTAGCACATCTACACCATAAAAAATTAAGGAATAACATATCTTTTACAAAAGGTACAACTGAGTAATATGAGTAAGATGATAAATCAAGATTTAAAAATATCTTTCTGAAAATGAGAGGCTGTTTCTCCCTACATTCGAAGCATATGTCTTTACAACTGCCTACTGAGTGGGATTAGCCTTCTTGCGCCCCCTCCCTCGCCCCTTACTGGGCTGGGTGGCAGCCCTACCTGAGCGTCCACAATCTGAGCAAGACACCAGTTCCTCGGACTGCCCTGTCTTCTTATTCTCTTGGGAATCACCAAGACAGAAATCACAGTATGGTGATGGGGCAGCTCGTTCCTTTTCCTCACTACCAGGCATAGGCGGCAGCACCTGCAACATTCACTGCAATACAGGACTGATCTCGTGATCTCACAAGACAACAGTGCTGACACCAAGGCATTAACACATCTCCAATGACACACAGTTCACACAGCTTTATAAAAATCAGTGAATTAGTGCCAACATTACTGGTATGTAGAACTGAATAAGGGATTTAACAGTGACAACTCATTAACAGTGTTTCTGTGGAACTATAAGCACTGGAAGTGATGCACATTAAATGTTGGATACATATTATAAAGCCATTTTGCCACAGATGAGGCCATGGATTCTTGAACTACAAGCACACCAAGCATTTCCACAAATCTAGCATCAATACCACTTTGGACATACACCATATTCACAGAATGTAAACCACTATTTTCTGTCTTCGTAATGTATTGTAACGTGTCTGGAATCCAGAAGAGTCGCTTCTATGGAAACGCTAAAATAGACCGTTGCATAGGAAACAACATTCGCTCTACTGTAGTTCTAACAGGAATCTCCACGGTTACGACGAATACACGAAGCGTCCCCACAGAGACAACGCGATAACAATGGGTTATTGCGTAGGAAACGCGGAACCGACAAAGCAACGTTTCCACAGCTACAACAGCGGGGTTGAATGCATTCGCTCAGTGAGTCCTGGAATATCCGCCAGAGAAGAGAGTCCAGTGTCGGCCGAGTTATTGTAAGCAGTCATTGTAATACTGCAAGGGATGACAGTTGTAAAGCGTGTGAGTGTATAAGTGAAGAACAATAAAGGTTCTACAGAATCTGAGCCCCCACGGGAATTTATTTGTGGCGTGACACACAAAACACGCTACAGTATTTTTAGCAACATACAAGTGTGACAGAGATACGATTTTGTCTAAAACACTGACAATACTACTCATTTGGTGGGGGCGTGGGGGGGGGGAAGAGATAATTCACTGCAATTTCATTCTTGAAGTGGATATACCAATTCTAATTCCAATTTATTGTTAACATTAGAATTACGAGAATAAATCTGTAAATATAATATTAAATAGACGTATAACTTAAAATTCATTACACTGTACAACATGCAGCAAAACGTTTTAGCCATGAACAGTACACGGTCTCCATTCCAGAATCTCAACACTTTCTTCCCCAGCTTTGAGAGCTATGGAAATGACAACTTGCTTGTCATGGTTATGACTGAAGGATTATGAAAGAATAAATATTGTAAAACAAATGGTGCTCACTGTTTTATATGGTGAAAGAAACTGGAAGAAAAAGTTCTGAAGAGAATATCTGGCCTATAACAAGCAGCATCAGGTTAAGGGAAAAATGTCCATGACAAAGCATTCTGTACTTTACATCAGTGAGGTTCCTGTTTCTCTCAGTACAGCAGATACCATGCAACAGACCAACTGGCTTTCATTCAGGATACTAATTAGTTCCTAGACCTCTTCTATGGAACATAAAGAAAAGATAAATACAGCAGACTTTCACATGTTTTGGATACATTTTGAACTCCAACAGGAAGTGCTACTTTTTCCCACAAAACATTGCAATATGCAGGTCAATAAAATGGCCCTATACCTACTAAAAACACCATGCGATATAAGCATGTGTGGATAGTTAACTTTACACCCCACCCATTTCATCCCGGAGAAAAGAGCCCGCCCAACACCACTGGTTAGGAGAATCAGTGGACCCACAGCTGGTCGGGTGCGGTGGCTACTCCTGCCTGAAACTGAATTGCAGCTGTCTGGCCCTTAGTTTCAGTACTATACTAACTGAAGCATCTCAGCTACAAAATGATCTGTAATGGGACAGTATCATGGCTATTTAGAGAATTCAAGACAGCCTATGACTTTATTATGACAGATGTATCAAAAAACATTCCTAATGAATCTAGTATACTCAGAAAACTCATTAGGCCAATCAAAATGTATTTAAATTATATGTATATAAATGGCTGCACAGGTAAACATTTGTGTGATTCAGTCCTATTCAGAACGTTTTATTGCAATTCTTTTCCAGCCTCACTTCAGAATATGTAGAAATCCAAATACATCAGGGGGAACTCAACTGAACACATACATTCTGGCTCTACACTGTGAATATTAATTTCCTCAGAGAAAATATACAGGTAAATACAAAAAAGCTAAACACAGAAACTCTTGGCAATGTTGACAAAAATGTTATTTTTGGAATAAAAATGGAGAACTTAGGTACATGTTTATGTCTTGTCACAATAATGCAGAATAAAATTATAACATTTGGAAATGGCAGTAAAAAATGAAAATATCATTGCAACAATAGTTAGGAACAGATCGGAGTCACGAAACACTTACTAAAATCCAGTTTGGAATCCTTGGTTTTTCTATCTCCTAATCTAAAAACTTAAATTTTATTCCGAACAACAGACTTTGAGAATCAGATTCAACCAAGTACACTGAGAACCCACTGAACTGGCAGCATATATTAAAAAAGACAGGCCGATATGGTTGGGACATGTGACTGAAAGGGTGCCTAAAAAAATTTTTAAAGATAAAACATAGAAGAAAGATCAGAAAATCCACACTGATGTGGGCTGAAAATGGAAAGTATGATTTAATGGAGCTGAAATAGGAGAAATGGACACAAACAGCATAGGACAAAGAATGGGCATCTATCATAAAGAAGGCCCAAGATTCCCAGCAGAACACAGAGCCAAGGAGTAAGCATGTGTAACTCTGTCATTCATTCATTCATTCATTCATCAGTAATCTGTGAAGACGACAGGTCCACAGTCTCTTCCAAAACAGTTCCTCCACTTAATGCGATCTAGAGCTTTCTCCTTCAAATGAGAATATCCTCTCCTGTCAGCAAGGTCTGACAAAAGTTTGCCATGCCAAGAGAGGAAAACAGAGTGAGGGCATATAAGAACAAAGTACTCGTGAGAATATTTGGACACGAGACAGGAATGAACAGGATGGAGAAAATTATGACATAAAAAAGGTGGTACATGACAGAAATCTTCACAAAATATTATTAGGGTAAATGATATAAACTCTGTCTCAAGTGCAAACAATATATTTTGTGTCTTTGATCTTGCTCCCTACACTACATGTTTCGGCCTCAGACGGCCATCATCAGGTGTATAACACTCACGTCGCTGTCACACTGCACCCAGTTCAAAATTTAACATCTACAACACTCTCCCTGTCATTATCAACTTCTACTTCGTTGATAGCTGTCCACCCGTAGATTACTTCACACACGTTAATTTTGAGTTTATTGTAATAGCACCATAATAAAATCTTTAGTTCTAATTTTA